GTCACTCAAAAATAATCTTGCTAAAGAAAGGGAACAAGTATTGTTCTTGATCACACAGGGTGAGAATCTTTGTCTTGTAAGATTTCTTTCATGCAGAAGATTTTGATGATGCTTAAGAAACCCACAGAATAATATTTTAGCTACTATGAACACAAACGTCTACATCACATTCTAGACTAGGACTTTGCAGATGTTACTCAAAGAATTTTTCAGTCTTCTTCAATAACTATATATAGTAATTTTCTTAAATTAAGCTTAAAATGAGTTTAAGTTAGTAAGAAATACAAATCTTTTTAAAGACAGACACGGAAAAACAGCCTGGGAAGTAATGCTTCCTGTGTTCCCAGTGTCATAATGACCCTGACTTTATTTTTAGCTCTAATAGAGAATTCAAATTAAAAATACCTTCCCTGGGCCCTCCCTGGTGGCACAGCAGGTTAAAGCACAGCACTTCCACATGAGTTCGAGCCCGGCCCGGAAGTGACGACATGGCGCGGCAGCCCTCTCCTGACCAGCCTGCTGCTCCCCTTCAGTACTTCATGGATCTGCCTGTTCTGCTCCCCACTCTGTCTGGGGTGAAGCCTCTCACCACTCCTGCACCTTTGGCCTGTACCCCAGATCTGTATGCATAAATAAATCTTAAAAAGAAATAATACCTTCCCTGAAGGAGGGAGGGAGGAGCGCAGGGACTTGGTGATGGTGCACTGGTGAACTGGGGGAGGAAATTCTATGGGGACTACAACTGAGGGGGTAAAAAAAAAAAAAAAAAAAAAGAGCAAGCATTGTTTAAAAATGAACGGACCTAAACTGGGGTGGGACGAGTGCATGGGACTATGGTGATGGCACACATATGAACTGGTGGCAGGAAGTCCATAGGGATTACAACAGAGATGAAAAAATGCACAAAATGAAGAACGATGTAAAAAATAAATTTAAAAAAACGAAAAAAAATGCACAAAATGAGAACGGTATAAAAAAAGAAATAAAAAAAAAAGAAAGAACCTGTTCTGCTTCCCACTTACTGTCTCTGGTGAATCCTTTCACCCTCCAGCACCTCTGACTTCTATCCCAGTTCTTGTAGGAATAAATAAATCTTTAAAATAAATAAATAAAAAATAAACCATGATGGTAAAATATAAATTTTTAAAATTTACATTTCCTGCAATTATTCCTTTGGTGATTCTACATGCTCAGTCTAGTCAGAAACTAGATGTCCAGAGAGGACAAACCAGCTAAGCATCAACTGCATGCTTTTCAAACTCTCTGTGGTAAAGAAACAGGATCTTTTCTCCGAAATTAGTCTCAAAATTATAATTTTGTAACTACAATAAAAATTCAATAGAAAGGCCCTCCCTGGTGGCGCAGCAGGTTAAAGCACAGCATTGAGAATCTAAAGCCACTTCCACATGAGTTCGATTCCCGCCTGCCCTGGAGGTGACCACATGGTGTGGCAGACCTCTCCTGACCCGCCCGCTGCTCCCCTCAGCAGTGTACTTCATCGATCTGCCTGTTCTGTTCCCCACTCTGTCTCTGGTGAAGCCTCTCACCGCCCCTGAGCCTCTGGCCTGTACCCCAGCTCTGTATGCACAAATAAATAAATCTTTAAAAAAAATTTTCAATAGAAAAATAAACTGAAAAAAAAAATCAAGTCACAAAACACCAGCCCCATTTTTTATAATTATTATTAGATGCAACACAATTAAAAATTGCTACAGAAGCTTTTATACACTGTCTCACTTTCCGAATTTATCTGCTTATACAACCTGAGTCTGTGGACACACAGTAGCACTGGGTTTTGAATTAAGATATCCCACTTAACACAAATTTAATTCTGCTTTAACGTGGTCCCCATTTCAAACTCCTACAGCAAGCTATAAGACAGCATAAAAGAAAAAAAGTAAGACATTCACTCAGGAAGAAGGCCATGAACCTCCAAACCTTAGTAAAGAAAAAATAACTACAGCTGTTCTCTACATGCAATAGCCTCAAAGCACACAGGTAGGATTGGATTCTTATTGCCCCTTCTTTATAGTCTAAAATTAACCTAATCAAAAGTATTTTACCCTTCTTTATAGTCTAAAATTAACCTAATCAAAAGTATTTTACCTCCCATTCAAGCTGGGCATCAATGGTATACTGGTCCATATAGGAGACAACTGCTGGTTGAGACTTCCCCATTAGTTATTTTCAAAGGCAGCAGTGACTGTAATTTCTACTCCTATAACTTGGATCTAATTATAATCCTACAGCCTCCTGAGGCATGATTTTATAGCTCATCAGGTTAACCCTTCAGCATCTATGTTATCTAAGTAGTTCTGCTTCTGTTTCTAATGTCAAGAAGGTAAAGCAAAAATCCCTACATGGCAAATTAAAAGAACAAAAAAGGGTTTAAGGATCAGCAGATCAATCAAAAGTAGTTATATTCTCATCAATTAAACTCCCACTTCATTCATGCAGTTGTGCAATTTTAAGAATTTGTCCCTATCTTAACAAAAAAGCTGATGGTATTGATTCCTCCAGTTGGTTGATCTCCTATAGCCCTGTTTCTCTTCCTTCCTTCATCATCTTTCTGCCAGCTTCCTGCTGAAGCATAACTGCTGTTAACTGGAAATTCTAGAAAAGTTTTCTATTTCTGCATTCCCCCTGCATAGAGAGCTCTGCTGATATAAGCACACCTACCTTCTGACCATCAAGCTGAAGACCCAGACCGCTATAACTGGTTCAAAATCCCATCCTATCAGAAAAGCTCTCCAGAAGCTACTTCCCTAACCACAACTCTAAGTTAAACATGACTTTAACGCACACACACACTCTCTCTCTCTCTCAAATGTATGTATGTATTTGTCCGATATTTTAATACTTAAATTCTATGCAAATTTTTCATCTTTGAGCTCCTTCAGAATGGTAACCATGATCATCTTTTCACCATTTCGCAGTGTCTGGAAGCATGCCTGACCCATAACTGGTTTCCTACAAATATATTTTAATTGAATGAGCAACTAATCAAAGAATAGAACAAATGAATATTTCTGACACACACAGTGTAATGTGTACACACACACAGACATAAACAAACACATACACAATAAGCATATGCATGTCAATAGCTAATATACAAATAAGAAATTAATATAACTAATGTTCATCACATTTTTTATCTATTGTAATTTTCCTTATAATAACTTGCTATTGCCCCAGACTCCTGTATTTATTAGAAAATTTGTCATATACAGTAAGAAAAATACTACTAATAAGTCAGGTTTTAAAATCACTGTGATAGGCTCACCCTGGTGGCACAGCCGGTTAAAACTCAGCACTGCAAGCTAGCTGCAGCCACTTCAGTGCAAGTTTGGTTATCTACCCTGGAGGTGATCCATGTGGCACCGCAGACCTCTCCTGTCTAGCCCACTGCTCCCCTCAGCAGTATACTTCATTGATCTGCCTGTCCTGCTCCCCCTCTGTCTCTGGTGAATCCTCCACCACCCCTGTACCCCAGTTCTGTATGCATAAATAAATCTTTTAAATAAATTTTTAATCATTTTTATGATAATCCATAAAAATTATTTCCTTGTTTTTTGTCTTCCTTAAAATGATTTTCAAGTCAATGCAGGTTGAAATCTTAACTGAGAAGATTAAAAGTGCATAGCATTCTTATGCTATAAAATTATAAAATAGCAACAAATTAAGCTCTATACTTAGTTAGCAATTTTATTTAAAGCATTATAAAGTAGTACCTTTATATAATTGTTCCTTTTATATTTTAATATTAAATCAAGCACTCAGTGAATATTTTAAGTAGTCTTCGAAAAGTGTTCTTTATTATTTTTATAGTCAATAAGTTCATTTGACTGCATTCCACTTCCCCGCAGAATGAGAAGAATTTGAGAGATTCCTTATTGATTAAATCCCAAAACATGACCCAGTACTAAATGTGCGGGTATGGGTCCTAAACTAATGGAGTCCAAATTGGAAGCTTTGACCTGCTATATGAACTCTACTCAGTTTTTTGTTCTGCCTTTTAAAACTATACAGAACACCAAGAAGCAATGCCAGGCTGCACAAATAAAGTCTAAAACAATGAACTCAATAGCATTCGGTTAAGATATATGGTGTATCCTAATTGCTTTGAGTTGACTTTCTACATAAAGAGGACAAGAGCAGAATATTCAAGGTCTCACTGGAGAAACAACCAGAATAGAGTATTTCTAAGCAGAACTATAGGAATATTTTGAACAATCTCAGAAGTAGAGACAAAAACAAAGAGAACAGATTTGATCCCCCATAAAACAAGAGTCTGGCAACCATAATAAGAAATATGTGCTCTTTTTGAGCAAAAATGGAGTTAGCTGTCAATGGAAGAGGTATAAATATCAACACATTGCAAATACATCTGGAAAACACACAAAAGTAGAAGTACTTCACATTTGCACTGTGTAAAGAAAGACTAGTTACCATTGGTCTTAACCACCAAATTGAAGAGCAATAGATGAGTATTTTATTTGAAAATAAACTACTCAAAACCATGATACAAAGAGAATTATGTCTTATCTTCATAAAGTAAGGTTATTTGAGCAAATTCTGATGGGAGATCTGCTCATTTTCCATTTTAGTATTCTGTGGGCAAGTAAACAGTGTCTTCCTTAAGAATATAGTCAAAGTTTCCACATAAGAAGTGAAATACTGTCATTTTGGAGGAATCTGTATTTCCTTAGGAGCTTTTCAGAATGTGTTGAAAGAAATAAGGAAGTAAAGTTCTCCAATAAAACACAAGTAAAAAATGCTAGAGTGTTTCTGTGGTTTCTTGGAATAATATTGTCTTCATGTCATAAATTAAGCCAAAGTACACATCTTTGACAGTAAAATGTTTTCTAATGTTCCTTTCTCAGTTTAAAAAATAATGAAGCTTCCTTTTTACCTCTACCTTCCAAACCATGCTGAAGTCAAGCTCTATACCCAAACACCTGCAAACACACACACACACAAAAGGGAATAAGTCTTACCAGACCATCACAGTTGCTAATGGCAACAGAGGTTCCTGGAATGTCCATGATGTCACCAATATAAGCACAGTTAGTCTGCAAAGGCTCTGTTTTCCAGATTCTTTCAGAAGCACCTCCTGGTTGATGTTCATTGATGGGGTCAGTTATATTCCCAGGCACCAGAGCTGTCTCATACCACTCCACAACTGCCCCAGGAGCTACTAACTGAGTGTTGGGTTTCAGTCGTAGATGAAAATCTCTTCCAAATGCTGTGATGTTAAAAAATAATTGCTCAGAGTTGGAGGATACGTCCCTCGTTGACCTCTTCTTGTGATTTGCAGAAAGAATATGGGAGAGATAGTGTCCTTCTAGATTTGTGCTGACTGGTGTCACCAGCTCATACTCTCTCTGTCTCTTTATTGGTAAATCTGTGGAGTAGAAAACAATCGTAGAGTTGGGTCAAGAAGGGGCACAATGTGGGCATAAAGTGTTTCTGAGTTATCTCATAAGTATTCAATTTTGAAAACAAATCATTTCTAAAATGAACTTGAGTAACTGTGTTGAATGGTTTATTTTTATATATTTTTAAAAGTGTTACAATGTCAATATTCATATCTCATTTACACATTTAAGAACACAAGCATGGCCCTTCCTAGTGGTACAGCGGGCTAAAGCACAGCACTAGGAAGCTAAAGCCACTTCAGCATGAGTTCAATCCCCACCCTGGAGGTGATCCACATGGTGCGGCAGACTTCTCCTCACCCACCCGCTGCTCCCCTCACCCACCCGCTGCTGTACTTCATCAGTCAGCCTTTTCTGCTCCCTACTCTGTCTCTGGTGAAGTCTCTCACCGTCCCGACACCTCTGGCCTGTGCCCCAGCTCTGTATGCATAAAAAAATCTTTAAAACAATTAAAAAAGAACACAAGCAGTAGTTTCCATAAATCATATATGGCTTGTTTATAATCAAGAAATACTCCCAGTGAATTTATTATTGATGTAGCTGACACTTGTTTCAAAACTTTTAACAAAGTTGCTATTATGTAGGATAATTTTTTTTCTAGTTTTTAACATTTTTCTCTTTAAGATTACTAGAATGTATACAAAGTACAATATCTACCAAACACCTGTAATTTATGCTTTGTAGTTTATGGTGCAACAGTTTATACACAATTTTCATCACAACAGCCCTACAATCTTACTTTACAGGTAAGGAAACTGAGAATCAAGGGGAAAGGGACCCAAGATTGAAATAACTGTGACACTCAGCTATAAGCCAAGTCAGACTCCAAACCCCATACATTCGTTCTCCTACATTATGCATTTCCAAAAAATCACAGGATATTTTCAGAAAATGAAGAGTGATGACAAAGAAGAAACAATAATCTATAAATTGAAATTCAGACAGTGGTTAGTTAAGAGAGGATGAATATGGTATTCTGCACCATCTTCCTTACGTGGCACAGATACTTGTTAAAACAAGAACAGTATTTGGAGTCCACCTTACAACATGGCTGGCCATTTACATATTAAACTGAATTTCATGATTAGAACTTAATTTCCTTTGTTTAGTTGAATGTGAATATTATATCTACTAAATGCAAGCATCCTTAGGAAAGATAACATACTTAATAAACTATTTTCCCACTAACTGAAATTATTTTAAAGGCAGAACATGGTGGGTTGTGGATGCTTGAAAAGGAAATGAAGAGGGAAGTGGGAATGAAGAAAGCAAGCTTGAAAAAGAAAATTGAAAATAAATATTAAAAAGTTCCCACCTTCATAACTCTTATCTAAGACTGGTCCTGTAAGTAATATGCTAGAGTACCTTGAAAAAAATTATGATTCACGAATATCATCCTTCAAAAAAAATCACATTTTGCACCAATAAAATGTACATTTTGCACATCCAATAAATTATTTATAGTATGAAACCCATAAGTGAACCTACAACCTGTGCCCTTAAAGTATCCTTAGAGAATCAGTATGTTTTCATTATTCTCCTGCTTTTTAAATAAAGCAGTGTATAAAGAACCAATGGACAAATGAAGGCATTTTGTATTTTAAAATTCTTTGAGTACATGTTTGTTATCATTATGCCACTTATGGTGACTAGTATATTTAAGCAAAATAGCCTTCTTATTAAATGCACAGAGCAAGTAGCTGTTGTAAATATTTACCAGGCAAAGGAGTAAAGACTGTGGTATCACAGGGGAAAGTGAGACCTGGTTCCAGCACAGGCAACAGCACAATCCGTGCTTTGTGGCTTCTCTGTCTCATAGTCAAGGACCTATATGTACGGGCATTAGTAGAAGCACAGACTCAAAATTCTGGTCTCCCTTCAACCAAATCCATAATGAATATTTTTATAACCTCTGATTTAGAGAAAGAACTCAAAATTTTAAGGGAAGAACTCAAGTGTTATGGGAACAGGGTGCTAGAGGAGAGTTTCCACAATTAGGTATGAATCAAGTTGTTGGATGTTGACTGGCAAAACCTGTTCTAAGTTTCTTGAGCATAGAGAATTTCCTATTCAATTTGATATTCCCAGTATCTTATACAATATTTTATACCTGCACAGTCAGAAAGATTTTCTTAATGTGTTAAATGTTAGTACAGGTAGCCAGAAAACATTTTGTACAGCATTTGTCTATGCTGTGACATACTCTGACTTACAAGGCATAACACCCAAAGCCCGCGAGCATGAGACTGCGTCAGTAATGTCAGTTATAACTCTTCCTCTGGCCATCAGTTTACTAGTTCAAGGGAAAGAAGCAGCAATGCTTAATTTCAATGTATGGATTTCCCATCTCCCCTGAAGGGAATTGACATAACCAAAGTCTAGACAATATGCTGAACCTGGATTAAGTGACTTGAGAACTAGAAAAATTAGGAATAATGCAGGAAGGCTTTTCCATACCCATGAGGGTTCTCAGATCCTGATACTTAAGTTATAAACTCTAAATCTTCTGGGTTAATTCCATTTTTCCACTGTCTGATAATATTGTCTATATAGTCTATATTTTTATTCAATATAAAGATTATTTTCTATAGAGCTTTGTCTTCTCTAATGCTTAATAATAAATCATTCCTAAAATGTACATACAATAAACATCTGAAATTAAACCCTGTGTGCGTCATTTTCCAGTTTCCAGAATTAAGGCAACCCAGGGAAAGTCTTACTTAAAAACCCCTCAGGCTGCATCCCTCTTGATTAGATAGAGTTCATGGGTCTGACAAAGGAGTTGCCCAATCACCTGCCATTTATTAGCAGTATAAGTATAGGCACTATGCTTTGTGCTCAAGAATTTATAATTTGGGCCTCCCTGGTGGTGTTATGGGTTAAAGCACAGCACTATAAAGCTGTCCACAGTCACTATAGCACGAATTTGGTCCCCAGCCAAGGAGGTGACCCAAATGGTGTGGCAGACCTCTTCTGTCTAGCCCACTGCTTTCCCAGCAGTGCATTTTAGTACATCTGCCTGTTCTGCTCCCTACTCTATCTCTAGTGAAATCTCTCACCCTCTGCACCTCTGGCCTGTACCCCAGTTCTTGTACATGTAAATAAGTAAATCTTTATTTAAAAAAAAGAATTTACTATTTCTAATGCTCACCATAATCATAGTGGGTAGCTAAAATGATCCACAGCTTATAAATTAGAAAGAAGACCTAGAAGAACGGACAGGAAGCAAGAAATCAAAGGAAAATTCAATTCTGATCATGTTGATTCTGAGGCCATATTCCTATGCTCTAGTCACTTAAGAACAAATTTAAGATATGACTTATAAAGGAAAACTACCACAAAAAATGATGATGTTCTGCCTACCAGCAGCCAGTCAACCAATTTTTCCTTTAGTGTAGCTTCAAAAATTTCTGTAAAAGGCTCATAAATTCTCTGTAGTTAGGAAAGAAAAAAAAGATAAAGCTCAAAGCTATCAAAAGTATTCTAATCTCAGATAACAATCACAGAAGCAATGAAATTATACTCAATGTTTACCTTTAGAAATTAACACATTTTACAGTCCCAGAGAGTTCCACAAAACTGTAGACGCTATGATTAAGGAGTGAACTACAGTGTCAGAACGTGGCAAGTTCAATCATAGTATGACTTTGAACAAGTTTTTTTATTTTCTCTTAAACTCAGTTTCCTTAATTGTTAATTAGAGGTTAGCAATAGTTCTGACCTCATAGGTTTGGCTAGAGATTTAAATGAGATTATGTGGAGGATTTAATAGTTACCAGCTATTATTCACTTAAATGTAAGTTTGTTGCCTATTAAAATAATGTCCATATGCAATTTTTAAGTGAAACTATCCAACTGTCTGCTAAGTTCCTGAAGGACCACAGCAATAGGTAAGAAAAAGTTTTTGTGGGCTATTAAGTTCCACAAGCACATGGAGTAGGCCACTGCAAAGCCGCAGTGCGGTCACTAAGTTTCCAAGCATGATTCAGATGCAGTAAATTTTCTGCACCCCACTGGCATCATTGAATGCATGGCCCATCTCCATTCTGGTACAATGGATAAACCAGCTGGGAGCTTTTAAGAGCAAACCATTCACTGATGGAACATATCATAGCCCCTCATGCCCTGTCAAGAACCATTTCAGCAATGTTCCTCTCTTGCCAAGCTTCATTTAGGTGCTCTTCATTTGTCAGTTCAATTGCCAAAGCATTCTCTTCATGTGCATATTTAGCAGCAATCTCAACAATTGTCCAGTAGTAAACTTCTGGCTCCCAAATCTGTTTCTCCTCCCGGATGGCAGTAAATGATAACTCTACCTCCTAGTTAACACCAAGAATTTGAATGAACTTTCCTCAACTCTTCTCATACCATAAATCAGATGTTTTCATAAATTCCATTCACTCTAACTTCAACTTATTTCCAAAAGACAAATGCCAGGTGATTTCACTCACATGTGGAATATAAAGAAACAAAACAAGGAACAAACAAAACTAAACCAAAACAAGCCTTAGGCATATGGCTGTAGAATGGAGACTGCTAGAAGTGGGAAAGTGAGGAGGAGTAGTGGAGGGGTGAAGTGTCTGTGTGGAGGACTATGGGTGCATTGGTGGTGGATGTGGTATGGTAACAAACATCTGAAAAAGTGGGATCCTGTATTTCTGAATCATAAACAGTGTTTAAAAAAAAAGTATCACCTCAAAAAGATACAATTTTAAATACACACACACACACAAACATATATATACATTAAAAATGTCTCCAGATTGACCACTGCTCACTACCATAATCCATGCCACCACTGTCTCAGTTTTGAATGTGCAGAAAAACTGGCCTCTTAGCTTCTGTGTCTACTCTTTATAAGGTTTCCTCAAATCAAAACCCGAGTAATTATAATGATAGATCATGTCACTTTCTCTTCAAATCCATTCCCCTCATAATAAACTGGCTCTCCAGGACCTAGTGCCTG